CACTGCTTAGCTGTCGCTTTTCCGCCGAAGCAGCATCAGCATCCCCACCCGCCTCTTCCTTCTAATCCTCCTGCTCCCCCCCATAGCCTCCCAGGGAAACCACGACAGACCACGGCAACCGTCCAAGTACCATTGCATGTATCAGGGACCGCGCGCTTCCCATTCCATGTGCTCGAGCGTCAGAGGTAGCCGACGCTATAAGGCAATTGCCGCCAGAACGATTGGAGCACGCCCAAGCAGGTTCGACATTCATGGGCCATTCTGCCTCATGTTTTGGTTTCCGCGCGATCCCTTCTCGTTTTTTCGCGTGCCGCGTTGTGGGTCGTGTGGGACGTGTGAGACTTGTGCCCCTGTGGGATTTGTGCGACTTGTTGGACCTGCGAGACATGCGGGACCTGGGCGACTTGCGGGATCGTTGGGTTCTGCGGGACCTGTGCGACGTGTGCGATATGCGAAATTTGTGGGAGTTGTGGGGCCTGTGGGACCTGTGCAAAACGCCGGCCTTGTTGGGACCTGCGAGAGACCTGCGGTCATTGCGGGATCTGTAGGGATTGTGGGACCCGCGGGGCCTGTGCGACTTGTGGCACCTGTGGGACATGTGGGGCCTGCGAGGCGCGTGGGACTCGCGAGACTGGTGGGGCCTTTGAGACTTGTGCGGCTTGTGAGGCCTGGGGGACCCGTGGGACTGACGAGGCCAGTGGGACCTGTGAGGCGTTGTCCAACGAACCGCGTTGACGATCCAGCGGGGGGCGGGTTCTGTTATGTAAATTCACTCACGGGGTGCAATTTAGGTTGGCCAGCGATCTCACTTAACGATCGGGCGGGTGCGGCTTGAGCGTGTTATTTCATTGACAGAACGCACTTCGCGTAAAGTGGCGTGTCCCGGCGTGCCCAGTCCACGATTTCGTTGTTCCGCGTTTGGTGTGTAAGCAAAAACGGGAAGCATACATTGTACAGTGGGAACAGGTTTTCTAAGAAGTAAACAAACAACTGTCCTTTTGTAATTCAAACAATTCCACTTTACGATTGGCGTTCCCCGTTCCTTTTTTTGCACACACGTTAAACGCGGAACAACCAAATCGTAAAGTGGGCACGCCGGGGCACGCCACTTTACGCGAAGTGCGTCCCGTGTGTGATTTTGCGCACCAACCTTGCCACCCCCGATCGTTAAGTGGGTTTCTGGGCAACGGGAAGCGCGTCCCGTATATGAGTTTACACAGTGAACTTGAACACGCCCGCGTCCAATCGTTACGTAGTTTCGCCAGGCATCGAACATTTACCGCCTTGAAGCGGATTTTGAAAATGAGCCCGCTCCCGCCCAATAGGGAGTTGCGTCCGACGACGACGGGCGTGTCCTGGGCCCCAGGCCCAGAAAGTTGCCGTTACTGCCATGAAAGGCGGGCGACGACGACGACGGCCACGGCGACGTCGACGACGACGACGATGACGACCACGACGACGGCGACGACGACGACGACCACGACGACGGCGACGACGACGACGACGATGACCACGACGACCACGGCGACCACAGCGACTACGACTACCACGACGAAGACGGCATGCGTTCTCGCCACATCGCCGGCCACTGCTTAGCTTTCGCTCCTCCGCCGAAGCAGCATTAGCATCCCCACCCGCCTCTTCCTTCTAATCCTCCTGCTCCCCCCCCTAGCCTCCCAGGGAAGCCACGACAGACCACCACGGCAGCCGTCCAGGGACCATTGCATTTATCAGAGACCGCGCGCTTCCCATTCCATGTGCTCGAGCGTCAGAGGTAGCCGACGCTATAAGGCAATTGCCGCCAGAACGATTGGAGCACGCCCAAGCAGGTTCGACATTCATGGGCCATTCTGCCTCATTTTTGGGTTTCCGCGCGATTCCTTTTCGTTTTTGTCGCGTGCCGCGCTGTGGGTCCTGTTGGACGTGTGAGACTTGTGCCCCTGCGGGATTTGTGCGACTTGTGGGACCTGCGAGACATGCGGGACCTGAGCGACTTGCGGGATCGGTGGGTTATGCGGGACCTGTGCGACCTGTGCGACCTGCGAAACTTGTGGGAATTGTGGGGCCTGTAAGACCTGTGGGACCTGTGCGAAACGCCGGCCTTGTTGGGACCTGCGAGAGACCTGCGGGCCTTGCGGGATATGTAGGGATTGTGGGACCCGCGGGGCCTGTGCGACTTGCGGCACCTGTGGGACCTGTGGGGCCTGCGAGACGTGTGGGGCTCGCGAGACTTGTGGGGCCTTTGAGACTTGTGCGACCTGTGAGGCCTGGGGGACCTCTGGGACTGACTGGGGCCTGTGAGGCGTTGTCCAACGAACCGTGTTGACGATCCGGCGGGGGGCGGGTCTTATATATATATATATGTATATATATACATACATACATACATACATACATACATACATACATACATCTCTCTATATATATACACCTAAATATATATATATATATATATATATAACACGGGGTGCAATTCAGGTTGCCCGGGGATCCCACTTAACGATCGGGCGTGTGCGGGTTTAGTGTGTAAATTTTCACACTGGGCGCGCTTCGCGTAAAATGGCGCGCCCCGGCGTGCCCACCTTACGATTTGGTTGCTCCGCGTTTGGTGCGTGAACAAATTGGACGGGAAGCGTCCATCGTTCAAGAAACTCCACGTTACGATTTGTGCTTCCCGTCCTATTTGTTCACACGGAACGCGGGAAAACTATATCGAAAAGTGGGCACGCCGGGGCGCGCCATTTTACGCGAAGGGCGTTCCGTGTGTGGCTTTGCACACGAAGCCAGCCACCGCCCGATCGTTAAGTGGGGCCCCTGGGCAACAGGATGCGCGTCCAGTATATGAGTTCACACATTGAACTTGAACGCGCCCGCGTCCAATCGTTACGTAGTTTCGCCTGGCATCGAACATTTGCCGACATGAGCGGATTTTCGAATTGAGCCCGCTCCCGCCCATTATGGAGTTGCGTCCCACAACAACGGGCGGGTCCTGGGCCCCAGGCCCAGAACGCTGCGGGCGACGACGACGACGACGACCACGGCGACGTCGACGACGACGACGACGACAACCACGACGACGGCGACGACGACGACGACGACCACGACGACGGCGACGACGACGACGACGACGACCACGACGACGACGGCGACCACGGCGACCACAGCGACCACGACGAAGACGACATGCGTTCTCGCCACATCGCCGGCCACTGCTTAGCTTTCGCTCCTCCGCCGAAACATCATCAGCATCCCCACCCGCCTTTTCCTTCTCATCCCCCTCGTCCTCCCCCTAGCCTCCCAGGGAAGCCACGACAGACCACGGCAGCCGTCCGGGTACCATTGCATGTATAGGGACCGCGCGCGTCCCATTCCATCTGCCAGAGCGGCCGAGGTAGCCGACGCTATAAGGCAGTTGCCGCCAGAACGATTGGAGCACGCCCAAGCAGGTTCGACATTCATGGGCCATTCTGCCTAAGTGTTGCGTTTCCGCGCGATCCCTTTTCGTTTTTTCGCGTGCCGCGCTGTGGGTCTTGTGGGACGTGTGAGACTTGTGCCCTTGTGGGATTTGTGCGATTTGTGGGACCTGCGAGACATGCGGGACCTGGGCGACTTGCGGGATCGGTGGGTTCTGCGGGACTTGTGCGACCTGCGAAACTTGTGGGAGTTGTGGGACCTGTAAGACTTGTGGGACCTGTGCAAAACGTCGGCCTTGTTAGGAACTGCGAGAGACCTGCGGGCCTTGCGGGATCTGTAGGGCTTGTGGGACCCGCGGGGCCTGTGCGACTTATGGCACCTGTGGGACCTGCAGGACTTGCGGGACCTGCGAGACTTGCGGGGCCTGTGAGACTTGTGCGACCTGTGAGGCCTGGGGGACCTCTGGGACGAGACCAGTGGGGCCTGCGAGGCGTTGTCCAGCGAACCGCGTTGACGATCCGGCGGGGGGCGGGTTCTATCATGTAAATCAACACGCGGGGTGCAATTTAGGTTGCCCGGCAATCCCACTTAACGATCGCACGGGTGCGGGCTTAGTGTGTAACTATTTACACAGAGCGCACTTCGCGTAACGTGGCGTACCCCGGCGTGCCCGCTATACGATTTGGCGGTTCCGTGTTGGGTGTGTGAAGAAATTGGGCGGGATTGGTTTTTAGTAGAAAAACCAGCCATATATTTTGCAATGTACAAATGACGCACTTACACTGTACGACCGGCACTTCCCGTCCCATTCACACACCCGACGCGGAACAACCAAATCGTCAGGCCATTTCACTAAGGGGAGGTTTGTTAATGGAGTTTTGTCCACCGCCGACCGACGCATCCGAAGCAGTCCTGGAGGGGCCCGAGAGGGCGCCAAGAAGGGCGGAGTGCAGCCCCGACGGAATCGTACCAAAGGCTTTTCGTATGATTTTGTCGGGGGCTGGCTCGGGCCCTCCACTCCGGAGAACGCCACCCTCGCCGTGGTTCCGGCGCCGGCGCCAACAGAGCAGCAGCAGATGGCGCGCGGGCATTGCAGCCCTACCCTCCTGAGAAGCAGGGCCCTCGGGACTTGCTGGCGTTTCGCGCATCCCCACCAGCCTATCAAGAAACGACAGCAGCGACACGCGGCCGAGCGCATCGTCGCCGAGACCAGCGCCCCAGTGCCCCATTGCGACATCTTCATCGGGGGCTTCGTATGCAAGGAGCGCGGGGACTCCGCCCCCCCCCTGTCCGCCTCTCCCTCCGTTAGCTCCCAGAGGATCGCAGCCTTTTGTCGCCCAAGCGCAAGGCGAGCGTGAATAGCTGCCGTGGCGGCTCCTGTTCGACAGGCAGCGCGTGGACGCACGTGGAGGCGTATCTCGCCCGCCGCAAGCCCCGGATGTTCACCCGTGCGAGCGCGGCGCAGCTGGCGCAGCGCTCGCGCGGTGAGCCTTCGGACCAGGGCCATATAATCCAGCGGGCCACGGACATGGGGGCACGCGGTCCGCCGCGGCGTCCTGGAGGCTACGAATTTCGGCAGTCCCACAATGCGCGAGCGCCTCTACATCGTCGGTTTCCGCGTGCGCGTTGGAGACAGCGAGCGGATGTCGGACGCATTCCATTCCGCGCTGCCAAGGCTCCACATCCAGCCGCCTCCAATCGAGAGGGCGACGGGCGGCCTTGCCGCGGACGCAGAACCGACGGGGTCTCTCGACGAGATGGCGGGCGGGGCGGGGGGGCCGCGAGGGTGGCCGAGACGACTGCCCGCTTGCAGCGGGGGCATCGCGAGGAGAAGGAGAAGGGGGAGTGGGCTCGCGAGGCAGTCGACGCAATGGATTGGTAGGAGGGCCAGGGGGGGGGCGAGGAGGAGGGCCCCCCCCCCGATCGGAGGGGCCGCACCTGCTGCGCAAGGGCGACCTGCTAGCTGCTAGAGGAGTGCGCGCATGGCGAGCGACGTGAACACCCCGCCGAACCTAGGGAACATGTCGGAGAACGGGCAGGGGGCCGAGTGAATTTGCCTTCGTTGGGCCGTCGCTTTTCCAAGTACCTCCCGGGGGCGCCGTGGCGCGGTCGCGGCGCCCTCCCCGGGCCATTTCGGGGGCCTTTCGGGGGGGGGATCTGCGCGGGCGCATCGGGGGCGCGGTTGTCGCGAGACGCCCCGGTCGCGGCTCGACGTCTCGACGCTTCGATATCGGGGCGCGGCGGGCCAGGCGGGGGCTCGATATCTCGGCGCCTGGGCGTCGGGGGCGGGGCCGGGCGGGGGCCCCGAGACTTCGAGACATCTCGATGTCGACCCCCAGGCCCCGCCGCAGATTCCCCCGCTTCAACGGCGGCGGTCGAGGAAGAGTGGGGGCGGGCGGGGGAAGAGGGGATGGAGGAGAGGGGCGGTGGCAGGGGGAGGAGGGGGAGGGGGAGGAGGAGGAGAAGGAGAAGGAGAACAAGGACGAGGAGGACTTCAACAGAGGGCCCCCCCCCCGACCACGCCGGCTGGCTGGCCGCGCGCGCGGGCCCGCGGGCGCCCCCGCGCCCCCCCGGACGCGCCTGGCTGACCTGCCGCGGGCCCCCCCCCCGGGGGCTTCGGGCCTTCGGGCCTCGGTGCTGTCTCCCGGCGGCGCAGCGACCCCCCCCTGGCCGCTGCCCGGCCGCCTCGACAGGCGAGGGCGAGGCCGACGAGGCGCACGGCAAGCACAGGGCTCTCGGGCGAGGGTCTTCGGGCAAGGGTTTTAGGGTTAGCGCGTTAGGGCTAGGGTCGCTGGGATATGGCATCAGGGTTCATCCCTCGGGCACGGGGGCTTAGAGATCGGGCCCCAGGGTACCTGCTGTCTTAAGGTGAGGGTCTCAAGGTCAGGGCAGTAGGGCTGGGGTCCTGGGATTAGGGTTAGGTTTAGGGCATTATTGAGGTTAGGGTCAAAGACTTACGGCATTTGGGTTAGGGTCTCAAGGTTAGGGTATCCGAGCTTTGGTCTTCGGGTTGGGGTCTTGGGGTTGGGTCTTCGGAGTATGGTTTTAAGTTCAGGGCGATGGGATTAGGGGTTTGGGTCTTAGGGTTAGGGCTGTAGTTCAGGGGTGAGGTTTTTAGGGTCCAGGTCTCAGGGTTACGGTCTAAGGGCAAGGATGTTAGGGATGAAGTCTCAGGTCTATGGCACTTGCGTGGGGGTCTTAGGTTTGCGGTCTTAGAGCCAGGGCATCAGGGTGAAGGTCTTAGGGTTAGAGGCAAGAGTCTCAGGGTTAAGGGTCTTAGAGTTAGGGAGTTCGGTACTGCGCCCGAGGGTCAGGATCACAGGGTCGGCGCGCAGGGGCCGAGGGCCCCCAGCGTCAAAATATCGTCGCTGCGAGTCCCCGCCCGACGCCCGGGCCCGATGGCGAGATGTCCGTGCGTCGAGATCTCGAAACCAGGCGGCACAAGGCCGGGATGACCATGGCGCCCAGCCCCAGCGCTGGTCGGGGGCGCTCGAAAGAAAGGGCCCGCGCAGTTCCGGGGGCCGCCCGAGAGGGAGCAAGGGGGGGCCGTGGAACATTGACTTGGGGTGGATATTTGACCAGTTTGAATGTTCGACGCTTCGCGCATCCCCGCCAGCTCATCCAGAGTCGCGGCCGTCTTCAGAAAAATAAGGGTCACAGTAGCGTCCCGCATTGAAGTGCAAGATGGAATTCAGTGCGAGATGCGACGTGGTGCCCCCCGTGGTAGACGTCTCTGGCGCAGGTGGCTGCACCCACCCGGGGCCATGAGACGCCAGGGTCCACGCGGCTTCTCGCGGCGAAAGTTTAGTGTGGAAACCAGCGCAGGACGCGCTGGCCAGGTCGAGTTCTTGGATTTGATTTTGCCTTGCATGTTCGCCACGGGGAAGAACGGCGATCGCTGGGCGCATTCTACCACGGCAGGGGTTCAGAATGAAATTCGCCACGCTGAGCGGGGGGGGCCTCGTCGTCGCGGCCGGGCTCGGCCACGCGAGGTCGCCGTGCCCGGGGGCCGCGGGGCGAGATTGGAGCCAGGAGCAGGAAGAGGGCGACGAGAAGCACGAGGGCCAGCAGGAGTAAGATCCGGGGATGCGGAGGATGGCATGGAGGGGTCGCCCCCCCCACCCCAAAGGCCACTCGCGCGCGTCCGATTCTCGCCCGATGGGGGCCTTCCAGCAGCCCCGCCTCGTCGAGAGCTCAATGAGGGCGCCCGATTCGTCCCGAGGGGCCCCCAGAGTCCAAATGCGCGCTGCCGACCTGACCTGCTCGGGCGTTATCCAGAGGCCCCGACCCTCGCTTGCAGCGCCGAGCTCTTCTGCCGCTGGATGGGCGCCGACGGGGCCCAGCGCTGTCGCCATCTGCCCGGGGCCGCCGCCATGTGGATCATCGGGCATGGCGAGGTCCACTGCGAGCACTCGGACAGCTTCTTGCGGCGCCTTGCAGGCAACGCGTTCAATGGCTACACCATTGCGGCAGTCATTTTCGCCGCGACGACTGCCCTCGGCAGGAATTAGATCGGGGCCGGCTGTAGATCAGCCCGTGCAGGTTCTACCGGGATAAGCTGACACCCGGCGCGCAAAGGCTTGCGCCGTGCACTTATGGGCCAGCACTTGGCGCGCCTAGGTCGGCGGCGAGTCGCTCGAGTTTGACGCCGCCAGCGCGCGCCAGTGAAGCTGTCGCATCTCAGCTTGCGCTGGATCCCGCGCGCGGCCCATGGAGTCTTCGCCGTGGGTCGCGCGCAGGTGTCATCGCAATATTTGAGAGAGCGTGATCCACCGCCGCTTTACTGCGGAAAATTGCCAACCTTTTCCTCCGGAACCCGGGGGTCTCCCCCCCCCCCTCCGAAAATCCCCCCCCCATGCTGGAACCCCTCCCCCCCCCCCCCCCCCTCCCTCCCGGCAAACCCCCCCCCTCCCCTAACCCCCCCCCCCCCCTCCCCCCCCCCCCCGAAAACCGGGGGGGGTCACTACCGGTTCGAACCCCTCCCCCCCCCCCCTCCGGATCCGGAAAACCGGGGGGTCACTACCGGTTGGAACCCCCCCCCCCCCCCTCGAAAACCGGAGGGGGTCACTACCGGTTCGACCCCCCCCCCCACGCACCGCCAGCAAACGACTCCCGGTCCCTACCACCGCTCGCATCACATCCCCCACTGTTGTTCCCAGCACCACTGTCCTCACCACCACTGTCCCCACTGGTTCCACCACCGTCCCTATTGTCCCCACCAGTGCCCCCACCACTGTCGCACTGTCCCCACTGTTCCCACCACTGTTCCCACCACGGTTCCACTCTCCCCACTGTCTCCACGGACCCAACCACTGCCTATCCCCACTGTCCCCACTGTCCCACTGACTCCTCCGCTGTCCCACTGAGCTGTCCCACTGTTCCCACCACTGTCCCCACTGTCCCCACCACTGTCCCCACTGTACCTCTGTCCCATTGTCCCACCGCCGTCCTCGCCACCGCCTTTACCACTGTCCCCACCACCATTGTACCCTCCACTGTCCCACTGTTTCCACCTCATTCCCACTGTCCCCACACCACTGTCCCCACCACCACCGTCCCACCACTGTCCACTGTCCCCCCTGTTCCCACCATTGTCCCCACCACTGTCCCCACCGTCCCCACCACTGTCCCACTGTCCCACTGTCCCCACCACTGTCCCGCTGTCCCCTCACCACTGTCCCCACCAACACCGTCCCCACCACTGTCCGCACCCCCACTCGGTTTTCGAGGGGGGGGGGGGGTTCGAACCGGTAGTGACCCCCCCCCCCTTTTCATGATGAACTGGGGGGGGGGGGGGGGAGGGGTTCGAACCGGTAGTGACCCCCCCCGGTTTTCCGGAGGGGGGGGGGGGAGGGGTTCGAATCGGTAGTGACCCCCCCCGGTTTTCCGCCAGCAGCGGTAGAACACGCTCTTTCCAATATTTTGACACGGTGCCGCTGGATTCAGAATGGCCTCGTGGGCCTTGCAGATCGGGCTGGGCGAATCGATGTGACATCTGGGATATCCCATCGACCGCTTCTCTATCCAAGGCCACCCGCGCGTTTGTCCTAGGTCTAGACACGACGGCGCTGGGGATACGCAGACATCCAGACACTCGGCGTTGCGAGAGTACGCGCCCCAGGGGAAAGGCATGCATATTCGCCTTCGTCCAGGCGCTCGCCCTCGCCGCTACCGCCGCCGCCTCGCATCACCCTCGTCTCCCTCCCCCTGCCACCCCCTCCCCCACGTTCTCCCCCTGGAAATTTCTGAAGGGGGATTTGCGCGTTTGGGGAAGGTTGGCGATTATAGAAAAGCTAAGCGCACGCTCCACTGACACGTGCTTGGACCAACTCGCGTCGGTAACGACAGTCGTCTGAGTGTGCATCGACTGCGCCCTTCTCGCCCAGTCACCAAGCCATGTTCTAACACCTCCCACTTTCGGCCCATGTGGCCACATATCGGGGCGGGGAGAAAATCATGGTAGAAGGACGGGATGAGCGTTTCATGCAAGAGGGCCCCTTGAGCCTTCCCGTGGTCTTCTGATGCTTCCTGCGACCTCATGTGGCCTTCTGGGGCCTCCTCGAGCTTCCCCCCCATACCAGTCGTCGAGGTGAAGCCGTGATATCGTCTTCTCGCGTCGAAGGTTCTGCAATGGGGGGCCTGGCAGCGACGCCGGTGGCGTGGCGCGTTTTTTTTCCTTCCGTTGTTTGCTGTTTTGTTTTGTTTGTGCTTTGCTGTTATGTTTTACAATACTTGATTGCTTCAGCGGCGAACTATCGGCGTTCAACTTAACGGTTTCAAGTGTGAGCCGCAGGGCTCTTTAACCGATGCATCGGCGATGCAGTTCGATGTGGAGCCCAGTGTCCCACGCCGGCTTCGCCGACGCATCACCGACGTCGCCGACGCATCGCCGATACACCGGCGATGCATCGGCAATGCGGCGCGATGTCTAGCAGGCCTTTGAGGACGAGTTCGATCTGAAGCGAAACGTGCCCGCTGGCCTTGTAGTGGCTGCTGCCGTCAGGCTGCAGAGGGCAGCTAGGGTATACCACTGCGGCGTACTCCAACTCAGCCCTGCCTGGTCAGACACCTTTCGGATCGGCAAGAATGGGGCGACGTCTGGTGCATGCAAATGGTTTCGGCGCTACCGCCGGACGCACTTCTCAATACATTGTCGCTTCCAGGATCCGAGATGCGCCAGCGAAACCAGCTACTTACGTGAGGTGGTCAGATATCATCAAGCAGTGTCGATGCGCCCTGGTTGGCCTGTAGGCCTGCCGACGAGTGTTCCGCTACTTTGTGTGTGTGGTTTGCACGCAATGTTCTGAAAGCGTGTCTGTCCGAGAACGTTGTTTTAACACATATGCTTAATGCTATTGAAACATTCGCCTTGTATCCAGGAACATGTCGTGACAGGCCCATAGGAATGCTGGGAATATCCGTCCCTTGCTCAATCACACCCCCTTTGCTCTCCCTCCCTAGCGGCTGGCCCAGTGCACCTTCAGTGTCCGTGGCTCCGCGCCGTCCCCGCAGCAGTAGCAACGGTTCTGAAATTGATCTTGATTATGTTGGTGATGGTGTTGACGCCGAAATGGTTCAACATGCTTACGCCACATCCGCCGAGCCTTATTTTCTTGGGTAAGGGACTATGGCACCACATTCCTTCATGGGCATTCCAGAACCGCTCTTGAGCTAGCCTGGGCCGTCCTGGCTGAAGATTGCCTGGCTCGAAACTCAGCCAGGAGGGACCCTGATGGAGGTCCTCATCGACTTTGCCAAACCCGGGAACAAAACGGCCAGGTTTCGTTGTGGCATGTTGGGGGCTTTGTCCAGCCAGGATGGCCTTGTAGCGGGCGTGTTTCACGTTCGGGTTGTGACCTCCCGCGTTTGCTTCGGTAGCAAATCACAGCCAGCTTGTATACCTTCGCAACACCGTCTTTAGAGTACACTAGCGTCGACTGGTAGTCGATGCAAAATCGATGGTTTAGCGTCGATTAGCTTCGATTCGCAAGAGCCATCGAGATAGTATTGGAGGCTCTCCTGAGTTGCCGCAGAGTGGTGGTGAAGCTGCTGTCGGCGACGTGGATGTTGCTCAACCGGGAAACCAGAAGGCCAGACTTCGTTGCGGCATGCAGGGGGTTTGTCGAGCCAGGATGGCCGTGTACGGGCGTGTTTCGCGTTCGGCTGCTTCTGTCGGCGAACAAGCTACGATGTAAACACAACTTGCCGGGAGTCCGCCTGGACTTTTCGGATCCGCTCGGCCACGCGCAGAGGGGGGTAGGGGGAGGGGGGGGTGGGGCTTCTTAGAAGCACCCCTGCTTCTTGGAAGGCGCGGTCCTTATGTACAGATGTAAGGCCGCCGCCTTCTCAGAAGCAGCCTCCTTCTAGGAAGCCTTCCCCCCTCCCTCCCCACCCCCTGCTGCGCGCCGCCAATCCGCGCCAGACCGCCCTGGCGGCGCGTCCGTCGCCGCCCCTGGCGTGCTCCGCGCGCTGAGGATGAGGGTGAGTGACCAGTCGATCAATTTGCACGGGCCTCCGAAAACCTGTGCTCATGGCACCGTGTGTATTACCAGCCTCGAACGTATCCCTATCCCTAAGATTGACACGCCAAAAGGCGATGACCGTCTTAGGGATTCGCCCTCGCAAAATAAGGATATGTTCCAGGCTGGTAAGAAAACTTGTGCTCATGGCACCGTGTGAACATTGAGCGCTGGAACCGCCTGCATCTTCTCTCTCCCGTGCCCTGCGCTTGCTCGCCCCTGCTCAGCTCGCTCCCCCTGCGTAGTCGGAGGCCCTGCGTAGTCGAAGGCCCTGCATCTTCTCTCTCCCGTGCCCTGCGTTTGCTCGCCTCTGCTCTGACCGCTCCTCCTGCGCATTCGAAGGCCCTCCCCCTCCCGGGCAGCCAAGCCCCGCCTCTCGCGAGAGGTTTGGAGCATGCTGATCACGGTCGTCGTGTGCACGATTTTGGCGACCGTGTTTGCCGTGTTGGTGCCTAAGACGAGCAAGAATTGAGTAGAGTTAAGTCGGGCGTGTCCCCACTACAGGGGGATTTTCGACGAAAAATAGAATATACCCCTAACATAATCAAAACATAGCACAAAACTCGTATGGGGACTATGTTTTGAGTATCTTGACCTTCTTGGGGTATTTTGGGCGTATTTTTTTTTTCGTCGGAAAACCCCTTGTAGGGCGACACGCCCGACATAAGAATAGAGTTCTGTGCAAGAATTCATTGGCCCATCGCTTTGTCTTGTCGGTCCAAGCTGCTGTCAGGCGCCTTCTGTGTCTGGGCTCCGACGCGGTCAGCATTCTGCCACGCGGCCTCCTCTTTCCTCGAAGCATGTTCTTGCGCCCGACAGGGGTAGCCAGTGTGCTGCATGCCAGAGGCCCTTGCTCATCGGCGTTGGGTGTGCGCCGCTCTGATGCGTGGGGCGCGCGGGGCGTAAAAATGTCGAGTCGCTGTTGCAGGAAGGAGGGGGGATCTGAAGTGGACGTTGGGCTTTGGGATTGCAATCTGCCGCTCCAGCTCGGG